CAGCTGTCCCCCTGGTGACGTGGGGCCTGTTCTGATAACACTTTCATACATTTCCACAGCTTCCTCACAAACCCTCCCTCTGCAGACCACTATCAGAGCTTCTGAGCTCGGCATGGGAAGGCGCTGGAAATCCCCTGCCTGCAAACAGCCACCGCTCCGCCCTATTCTCCCATGCTCACTGCTTTTCGCCAAGCACAGCTTCTCTTCCTGAGCCTTCAGTCTCTGCTCTCCCTCTGGGTTCTTGACCCATCTGCCCTTTCCAAATTCCTTTGGCTTCCTTTTTCTGCCTCCACCCCACAGTTCATTTCATTATTTCTTTTTTTGTTTTGTTTTCATAATTTCTCATCATTCATAAGGAAGTGACATAAATGTGCTGCCCTGGCCAAGGACAAAGTCAAGCTCTCTCAAATACCCCTGCTTCCTCGAATGCAATTTTTCCAGGCTGTAGGAGAAGAAAGTGATTTGATGAAATTGATTCGACCCCTGCCAGTGCCCTCAAGAGGACTCGGTAATCTTCATAATCACCTCTAGCTACTTCTTTACATTCTCTAAGGAGAGTGCGCTGACCAACTCTGCTACACAAGACCACTTGACAGTGTTGAAAAGCCAAGAGGTTACTTTCAGGACTAAGGTGCCCCTGCCCCAAGCCACGGTGTTTTCAATTGCCTTGTATGTGTGTGAAAGTTAGAGACTGAAAAAGCAAGACCGAAGAAGGATGGGTGCATTTGAATTATGTGCTGGGGAAGAATATTGAAAGTACCCTGGACTGCCAAAAAGAAGCAACAAATCTCTCTGGTTAGAAGTACAGCCAGAATGTTCCCGAGAATAGAGAATGGGGAAAGTTTGTCTCACGTTCTTTGGAAATCTGCTCAGGAGAGACCAGCCCCTGGAGAAAGACATCCGGCTTGGTAAAGTAAAAGGGCAGCCAAAAAGAGGCGGGTCCTTGACAAGATGGATTAACACAGTGGCCACAACAATGACCTTGAACATAGGAATACTAGTGAGGGTGGCAGTGTGTCCTTCTGTTGTCCATGAGGTGCTAAGGGTCATAAATAATTCAAGGGGGCCTGAGCAACATAAGGAGTTTTTCAAGAAGCACTGGTGGCATAGTGGGGTACGCACTGGGCTGCTAACGACAAGGTCAGCTGTTGGAACTCCTCCCATGCCCCCCCCCCCCCCCCCCCCCCCACCCCCACCCACCGCCTCCATGGCACTCTGGGAAAACCATGAGGTGGCTGCTCCCATAAAGATTTACTGTCAGAAACCCTGGGGAAGAGCTCTATGCTGTGGTAGAGGGTTAACCATAGTCTCCCTCCCCTTGAGGGGCATGTGCTGATTGGTCCGGTCAGGAGCTAGCTACTCCAGATTCTCACTGCTGCTTACATGACTGAGAAGACCGTGGCCACTGACAAGACGCTCCGAGCTCAAAGCGTCATATACCCTCCTGTTCCCTCAAACGCCCCGAAGCCTCCCCCCTTTAGGAAGAAGCATGCCTCCTCTTCAAACGCAAACTTTCAAAACATGAGTAACTTTATCTTTGATTGTACAGAAGGGAAGGGCTTTTTGTTTTGTTTTTTTAACCACTGGGATTTGGGTGAAAGTTCACAGAGCACATTAGTGTCACACACACAAATGTATACACGTTTCATTTAGTGACGTTAGTTGCACTAGCCTCAATGTCATAGTCCCCGTCCCACTTCTTCCCTGGGTCCCCACTTGGCCTCATCCGAGGGAAGGTCGTTTGATGCAATACACAAACCCAGACATTCTTTTCAAAACCTGGTTGAATTTTACCACGTCATACTTGAAAATGCCTGGGTGGCAAGGAGAGTCATGAACAGAATCTAAAGTGCCAACACTTGCGGTGGCAGGCAGCAGGGGAGGGGGAATGGGATGGGGCGTTGCAGTACACAGCACAGGCAAAGGTTGAACTCATTAATTTGCAAAGGCTTCATTATATATATAAATACTCTACAGACATTGACCACAAATGTATTGTTCTGAGCAGACTGCCAAGCTCGCTAAATTAAAGGAAAATGCAAACCAGTAAGATTTCCACCTTTTTGTGAAGTCCCACATTTGAAAGGCTGATGAATGCCTATGGCTCAGGGAGTGAAGAAAAGAGCATTTACACAGGTTGTTGACAGAACGATAAGTTAATACCAGCCTTCCGGAAGTCGAGTAGGTAATAACTATCAAAATATAAAACGCCTGTACCCTTTGATCCAACAATCTCGCTGTTAGGGCTTTATCCCACCAATTAACTTACACATGTCTTCCCATCACCACAACATACACACACAGCAGCTGCCAGCTGCCGCTCTAGTGGTATTTGAAAAATGAACAGCAAACACATGGGCAGCAGTCACGGTCCGCATCAGTAGAAGGCCAGCTAGAGACAGAAAGGTGTACTCTCATATAATGCTCCTTGAAACAGAATGTTTTTGACAGATGGGAGTGTTCATGATATCACTGAAAAGTGGAAAAGGCAGTTTACAAAATCATACTTGCAGCATGATTCATTTTTGACAAATAAGAGATGCTTGTGTGTGTGTGTGTGTGATATTAATGAGCAGAGAAAAGAAATTCAAGCTCCATGACATAAGGATTTCATGTCATCTACAAGCTTTCTAATTGCTTATGTATAATTTTCTTAGTGGGAAAAATTACTTAAGACGTTCTAAATTTTATATTGGAGAAAGACAATGAAATAATCTGTGTCCTGTATGTTCTCTATTAAGCAATAAATTCTAAATACGGTCAATATCATAAAATCTCATATGACTTAATGATTGACAAAATCATTTCAATGCACTGCAGCTAACGCACGTAAATGAATAGGTTCTGATAAGGGCTGTCTAGAGGAGGAATTAGACATGCTCCCACACGTCCCAGTTCAGTCAACTAGCTCTATTTGCATTGCCTCATTCACCAAATGCTGTCACCCAATATTGCTTAATCCATGCGCGGACATATATAAAAGTGAATTTGGAACATAACTGCGAGTTGATGTTAACTACCACAAACAAGCCAGAGGAAACCACGGTGCCTGAGACCAGTCCTCCACGTCTGTGACTCAGGTGAGTGTCAGAACCTGTATGCAAGGATATTTTGTGTGTATCATTAGAAGAGGCAGCACTGCAAAGAAGCCAGACATGTCTGACTTGCTTGATAGTCTGAAATATTCCTTCCTGAAGAATAGCAGAGTGGAGGATAGGTTTTAAGTCTCGAAAATGGTGAGAAAAGTGGTGTCATGATGATAGCACAAGGCTTACAGGTTGTTTGAAGAAAATGCTTTGTGTTTCAGAAGAGGATTTGAAAATGGCTCCTGTTAGGGTTAGGACTTGTCATGCAATCCAGGAAAAGTTGCAGCCTCTGTGTCAGCCCCATCACCAACAGCAGTATTTTCACTTGCTGACTGACTCTGCTCCACTGTACAAGCTGACCTTTGCTTAGAGGTTTAGAGCAGGGTTCCTCCATGAGTGTTCTAGCCTATGGTGGCTCCAGTGGGGGAAGTATAGTGGTGGCTATAAGGCCAAATAATTACTGGAAACAATTAATTAAACAAAGGTATTCACAATTTCTCGATGACACATCATCAATAACTTTGACTGTGCTAGCATAAGTTTTGGACCTCCAAGAGGTGAGACCATACAGGTAGAAAGAAATTGTTTTGAGAGTGATGAGGGCAACAAATGTACAAATGTGCTTGACATAATGGATGGATGTATGGATTGTGATGAGTTGTACAAGCCCCCAATAAAATGATTTTTTAAAGAAAAAAATTTTTTTCAATAAATAATCATCTCAACAAAAAAAAAGGTGAGACATAGAGGAAACCCTTCCCTCGATTTACTGTTAAATACAACTTGTTAATATCCAGAGAAATGGCTAGCTAGGATGAGCACTTGGGTAAAAGAAAACAAACAAAAACCAACAACCAGCCATGCAGTCTTCATGCTCTTAGTAGTTACCTGAGTACCTACTGTGTGCAGGGTACTATGTGAACTACTCCTGTAAGATTTCACATTTAACTACCATCACGTTACCTCGTTGCCCCATCATGCATTCTCTGATTCCTTCTCAGTGACCATACTCAGAAACTCACTATTACAAAGCAATTGAACAACTATCTTGTGTGCATACTGAGACTGAACATCTCAGTATATCTTGCATATATACTGAGACTGAAGTCACATTCCTAATTTTGATTATTTTCTTCCTACATTTTGGGGGACGATTTATGGGAGGATGTCATGAGACTAAATGTTGGTCCCAGTCTGTTTTTGAGATACTGGGCCAGGCATAACATTACAGAGTCTCAGTCTGCTCCCTTGTAGCATGGTGTCTAAGAGCGAGGACCTGATGCCAGGGGCTTAAGTGGAGAGCAAATGTTTTGAGAATGATGAGGGCAGTGAGTGTACAAATGTGCTTTACACAATTGATGTGTGTATGGATTGTGATAAGAGTTGTATGAGTCCCTAATAAACAAAAAAATTTTTTTTAACTTAAAAAAATAATAAAGCGTTCTTGATCAATAAATGCAAGCACATCAGGAAAGGAGGTAAACTTGATGGAGGATCTCAAGGTGCATGAGAATAATATCCATTTCCATGTGAAGATAGAGGGGCAAAGTGGGGACTCTGGCTGTAAATGGGCTGCCTTCATGTAAAACAGAAAGAATTTGGAATCTCAGACACTACAGGGCTGTCGAGGGACACAGATAAAGGAGCCTGAAGTTGATCTTTCAATGAGTCCTCTAAGCCTGGCACTCACACTGTCACCAGCAAGAAACCCACTAAGCAAGGTGTCAAATATCTTGGCAGTTCTCTTCCTTCTCTGACGATACTCCACGATAGGTTTGTATTGTGTAAGCCCAGGTTCAAATTTTACTGAAATCATTGTTCTCTCTGTGGTTATGGTTTCAGTATGGCGATGGGTTAGCCACGACTGCCTCTGTTTGTTTCAAGACAACTGATGGATTCATATTTCCTTTGTAGCCCATAGAAGCGTGAACCATGATGTCAAAGATGAAGTATTCAGCCATCCAAATGTCCACAGCCAACCTGAGCAAAGTGGGCAAGCTGCCAGCAAAACCACGCAAGCAGAGAAGTAAGGCCTTCAGCATTCTTGATGAACACAGTCATATTTTTAGCCATTATCAACTCTTTATCTTCCCAATGTTCACATCTGCCACCTGATCCACAGCCACAAGGGTTGACACGCAAAGGGGTGGCTACAGAGTGTGTAAGATAAGAACCTGTGACACCGAAGATGCACAGTTTGTGGGGGGGATCATCAAACGGGCACGGGTCAGATCATTTGACCCTGCTCATGGGGAACTATGTCATTATAGCCCTTCATATCAATGTCATAAAGTCCCTTATATCTCCCTCCTCACACTTCCACCAAATTTCCCAAACCTGTCCCAGAACAAGGGTAGGGTCTCTACATGTCACTTCTGATATCAAGGGAGGACATGAGACTAGTCCAGGCTCCCAGAACAGCAGAACTGGCCTCTCAAGTCTGTCTGGGTGCATGCTCCTCCACCTGTTTGTAGCAAGTTGGAGGGTAAACAAAGCCAGATGGCAGTCATAGCTTAGAGATGAAGGGCCATCCATTACTTTTCTCCTTACACTTGCCTACCCTGGGACATAATCATGCAAACACCTACTTGGGTTTTCCGTATGGGAGCAGTAACACAAGACGAGAGCTGATCGAGTCTGGGCAGACTTAAGAGAGAGCAGGAGACGAGGAGGGAGGCTGGACTGCGAGAGACCGGCACATCCATATCCTTGGTGCTCCTGTGTTCCCAAACATCTGTGAGTTGGAATGAGAAAGTTGTGTCAGAGAACATCATTCTGGTCCCCTTTTGTCCTCCCTGAACCTTGCCCACCTATGCTTTTCTTTGGTAGCCAGGAAAAAGACTAATTAGCCTGTGGTTTCTGAACCACAGTTAAATCACAGGAAACCACAGTTAAATCAGACATTTTCCTACAAGTAGCTGAGTCAAAATGTTCAGTGAAAATGATGTGGCTGTTTTACAGTTTCTAGAATGCCAGTTAAGCCTACTCCTGCCACTGATGCAAATGATCATAGCTACATAGCTCTTCATGCATGCATGCAGTGGTCCTCACCGCTTATCTACCCTACGAGGGGAAGAGACATGATACGGACGATTCCCAAGCCATCTGCATGTAGCTTTAAAACGCAATGGCACTACTTTCAACTCTGAGTAGCTCATCCTCTCCAATGACGTTGGCTCGGTTTAACACTAAACTCGCAATTTATTGAACACTGTTGGCCAAAAACGTCACTGAATACCTTGGAGGTATGGGACAGGTTAACATCTGCTTCTTCAAATTCAGGTGCAAGAAATGTCACACCTTTTTCTAAATAAACTTCTGCTCCAGTCTCTGAGTAATAAGGGAAGAAGTCTGGTTTAAGTCTGAATCCCTTGGGCTACCAGGACCTGGCACATTCCATAGCTCACAAAGCCACAGACTCCGGCCTGCGCAGGCATCCAGACAATGACACGTCCTAAGTGCTTGTGGGTTCCTGCAGGGCAGTTTTGGGTCAACAGATGGAAGACTTCATGATCTGGAAACAAACAAACCCACCTCTGCTAGCACATGCCCACCGCCCTTTTCCTGTTCCAGGAAGCCATTTCCCAGAGCCAGGCCGAGGTCACTGTAGGGGAGTGTTGAGGCAGATTTATCAGGCAGAAGTTTTTCATTTGTCTTGAGCAGTTTTATTGATGTCATTGCTTATGGATAGAAGGACCGGATAGAAGTCACCCCTTTCAGTCTGAGTCTGCCCATGGAATGTATCTCTGGCCCAGGAAAGGGGCTTGTACTCTATACTGGGCAGCAGGAAGCCATGAAAGATTTGTACCTGGAGAATGGCATTTTTTAGCACGATCATTTTGTTCTATAATGAGATAATATGATCGATGGGTGTATCATGTTAATTACGATTTTATATAACTGAATTTTAGCTATCCTGTATACACTGCACTAGGACTCATTGACTATAATTCGGGGAATGACCATCCAATGGTTTAAGTGCTGTTTTTCAGTTTGACTTGATAGACATTTTATGATTTTCAAGGAGTAGATTTAATTTTTCTACTTGAGATTCTGTATGTTCTTGTGTGTGTTTTTTTCCGTTGGCTAGTCAAAAGAAGAATTACTCAAGAACAAACTAGCATTTTTAAATTCAACTCATTGCTCTAAATTTACACTCTAATAATCCTACAAAGGAAGCACTTTCTCAGCTTCCATATTAGACATACCTGATCACAGCCAGCCCTGTGACCTTGCAAAAGTGTCATGACTTCTCAGGGTCATGAAACCAAAGACCTCAGTTCATCACCTGTACAATGGAGAAAATAGTATCTACCAGATAAGATCATTTTAAGGTTTAAATGAAATTAAATGGCAGCAATTTTAATACCAATAACTTTATAGATCACACCTATTTCTCCAAAATGATTAAAAATGTATTCTATGTGCGTGAAAACAAATGTAGATTTGCCCCCTTCTTGGTTAAGTTAAAAATGGTATAAGTTGGGCATTACTCCACAATTCATTACACACAATGATACAAATTAAAATACTTTCTAAAAAATCCAAAATGATCATAACTTATCAGCAAAATAAAACCCAAATTCAGGTGACAGTTAAACCCTGACCTGAACAGAACACAAGGTCTTTATTTCACTTTGTGTGTATTGTTCCACATCCCAGGATAATGCTGCTACTTTTTTTAAATTACAAGTGGAACACTGCTGCTTCCATTTCTGCCGGGGGCGCCATGGCTATGGAAGCATTGAAACGTTTGTGGGAAAATGCCATTATCTTTCAACTTTTTCCCCATCAACTTTCCATCATACCAAATACTCCTCATTTACGGCTCTAGAATTAAAAAAAATTTTAACTCTGAATTTTGAAATACAACTGACCCCAGGGGTTTCTGGTGATAGACTCTGAACCCGTCCTTGTTTTCTTGGTCGGCAATACTCAGAATTTGATAAAGAATAAGAGTGGAAGGAATAAAACAGGATTCTAATTTTTCTTTTCTTTTTTTTTTAAATAATCATTTTATTAGGGGCTCATACAACTCATCACAATCTGTATATACGTCATCTGTGTCCACCACTTTAGTACATATGTTGACTTCATCATTCTTACGACACCCACTTTCCACTTGAGCCCCTGGTTTCAGCTCATTTTTCCCTCTCCCTCCCTGCTCCCCCCGAACCCCCGATAATGTATAATTTATTATTATTTTAGGAGTCTAATTTTTCAATTGCCTTAGTATGCCAACAGAATACCAGCATAGTACGCCACATGTACACTATGACGTTGCGCTCTGGCCTTACCCTAAAGAATGACTATTACTTTAGGAATGAAACCATCAAAAGGAAGTCCTCAGAAAGAGGTAAGGAGAAGTGTACATTTCATGGCAATTCTTTTTTATTTTCTGATTTTGTTTTTGTTGTTGCTAAGAAGATCCACAGCAGAATATTCACCAATTACACAATTTGTACACGCACCAACTCAGGGGCATCGGTTATGTTCTTCGCGTTGTATCCCCTTTGCAGATCCCCCTTGCCTAGCCAGACAAGGTCAGACATGGCCTCCGTGCCATTTCTGCATCTGGTGTCAGGAGTGGGATTTCTTGCCAGACTCACGGCAGCATGGGTTTTTATGAAAGAAAGAGCAATGGTGCACGGGTAGTGAAACTCTTGGCTCTTAGGGGATTACGGAGGTGTGCTTCTTTCCCCCTTCCTGTGATGACTGGAAAGAACTTAAGGCATGTCAAACTGAAGATGCCATGGCCATTCTAAAAGAAGGTTTACACCTCTCAGATGCTTTTTAAGTGATGTTTTTTTTAAAATTTAAAGAAAAATACACTAGATAATTCATGATGCTTGAGTTTTTCATGTTAAGGCTGTGGCTGGCTAGTTTTCTTCTCCCTATTCTCCTACTAGCTTGGAAGTATGCCAAGAGGCAGTGACCCCTTCAGGCCTTGGGGTGGCCACAGCTGTGTGGTCAGTTGCTCCTGGCAGCAAGTAACCTCAATTGGGAATTCTCAGAAGGCAGTCTGTATGGACTGGAGACTACTGACTGACCACCTCTGCTCTCTCTCCTGTCCTGTAGGTGACAAGCACAAAAAGCAATTGCTGGGAGTCTCAGGTTATCACCAACTATCTATGAGGAGTCTGGATATCCCTTACCACCAGCCTATATTACCCAGAGCCTCCTTTACAAGATCTTCTATGGTACAAGCATGTCAAAACACAAGTGTGGCTGGTCCCAGGACTCAGAGTGAGTGGGCAGGGTTGTCAGATGTAGGGCCCTGACAAGTGTCACTCCAGGGAGCAGCCCCAGTCTTCACATGCTCCCGCCAAGCTTCTGTTTGCAGCTGACATGCCTGGTAGTGTTATACAAAGTAGCTGGAGGGGCAGTTGCTCTAACAATACGTGAAATTAGCTCAGCACCTCATCTTATTTTGAAATGCTTACTAGGGATTCAAATCCCGTCCATATTATTCCTGTATGTGGGGATTGGGTGGGGATATATTTCCCATGGGATAAAACACATTAACCCAAGAAAGTTCCAACAGCAAGATCGGTTAGGTTTTTAAAATCCAATCCCAACTCCTACATATTTTGACTAGTTGTGAAAGTGGTTTTGCATTTTACCACAAACAGAATTCAAAGTTGATGAGTCAAGTAACTTTCAAGGATTAAAGGGATCATCCACATTGCCCCTTCAAGCATGATTCCTGATGTAAATAATTTAAGATCCCTGAAACTTCCTGAAGTTTCTTACCTGCCAAATAGTTTGTAATCCTTTAAGCTTAGGAGTTTGTTTTTAAAAAGCCCAATAGGTCACATTCTCCTAAATATTCCACAAATTGTTTTCTTGGCTTTATTTGTAATGGAAAGACAATTAATGAGCATATTCCCCTCCAGGTCCCACGTAGGTAGCCTTTAAATCTGCTCCTGTCTATTTCAGCAAGCTATAAAAAGATGACCATTTCCTACTTATAATGTGACATTAAAAACAAAAACCGTTAGCAATATTGCATCACGGTGTCCTGCTCTTTAGTAAGAGGATGGAAGGGGTTCACACTTGGATGCTGGCACTGACAAAACCCCTGTTCATGAAAATAGTTTCTTCTTGTCCCCAACCATGAAGACTCAAGGCAAGGAGGTAGGTTTCCTCAGGCAAAGTCTGTCCTGTGTCCAGCTTCTTCCTCCCCACCAGGCCCGCTTTATCATGGCCTCCCCGGGCCTTCATGGAGGGGTCACCACCACTCGTCCCTCCGCTTCTCCCCTCAGCCTTGGAGCTGCAGAGCACTTGTGCCAAAGGTTTCATCTGCCTTCTGAAAGAGGCTGGTGAATGGCTACCAGCAATGACAATGCAAGTCAAATGGGGAAAATGAAACAAAAATCTTTCGAGGAAGGGTTTCATTAAACAGCTTTTCCAAAGCCTTGTTCATCTAAACATGCTTTTTTTAACTTCTTAATGGCAGGAGACGCATTTGTTAGCAAAAAAAATGCTTATTTGATGACGTTCAACAACCAGTTCGTCACGTTTGCTGAGGAAGGTGGGGCTTTTGGCATCTACGTTGAAGAAAAAGGAAAAAATGAAGAACATGAAATGGAAGGTAGAACATTTCCTTTTGTCTGTAATAATATGATGATTGGTACAGAAAAAAAAAAAAATATATATATATATATATATATATCAAACAAAAGAAGGATTAACCCAGGTCCAACAAAGTGATTTCACACTGATGGTAACCCCAATTCATTGGAATCAGTTATTTGAACATCACTGAATTGAGATGAGTTCTGAAGGCTAATAATTATGCTTCATCAGGGAAGAATGATGATATTGAAAAGTGATTTCTGATGTGTAAGGAGGAAAAAGGAATCACATATATATTAGCTATTGCTAAGTTATCCACTAGATTTTTCAAGCCTGATCAATATCATCAAAGTACAACCTCTTCCCACTGCCAACCCACTGTCCAGAGTCCATTCTGGCTCAAGGACCACCTCTAATCAGAGTTTCTACCGATTCTAACCTCAATGGCTCATGTCTTTTATGAACAACTCTATTTGGAAACTGGTCAGAGTTTATGCATATTTTTGTGAGACCATTCTCAAAACTAAAGAAGGTTTTCTTATATTAGTACCGATAAAACAGGATGTTTCCTAGTGACGTGTATATGTTGAAACTGAAACCTCCAACAAATACTATATCTCAACAATGGAATTTTATGGATTCTCTTTCAGATAAAGTGGTAATCTGTTACTATAAATCTGACATCTCAGCCGGTGCACCAGGTAATTTGGAGGGTTGGGTAGCAGTAGTGGTCACATTTAGGGTAAAGATAAATCCCAAAGCAGTCCACAAAGAAGGCAGGCAGGCCTGAGCATCTCAGAACATCCTCTCTAAGTCACACTCACAAGGAACCTAGATCACCTTCGAGGATGTACTCCATCCCATCCATTTCTCAGTCCAAGGTTGCTGTTGGGTGCCATGGAGTGGGCTCTGATTCACAGCCACCCTGTGAAGCACCAACCAGGCCCGCGCCAGCCTCACAATGGTCCTGATGTTGGAGCCATTTTGCAGGCGCAGTGTCCCTCATCCTGCTGAGGGCCTCCCTTGTTGTCACTGCCCACGGAGAAGGGACTGGTCTCTCCTGACAACATATCCGGAGTCCACGAGATGAAGTCTCACTGTCCTTGCCTCTCAGTAGCATTCTGGCTATCTCCTTCCAAGACAGATGTGTTTGGCCTTTTGGCTACGTGAAAGAGATCCAGATAACTGCGGCGTAAACTAGATAGAACTTAGTTAGAAGGGCAATTCCGCTCAACAGCATGCCCAGCAGATTCATCTCTTGATTCTGCCAACATCTCCACAGTTCCGGAGAACTCATGAGCCCATGTCCCATGCAGCAAGGCAGAGAAAGATGGCATGTGCATTTCTTTTGAAGGCATCATGACAAATGTGCACCTGACATGTCTGCTCTCCTCATTCTGGTTAGAACTTCGCCGTGTGGCTACACTCAGCTGCGAGAAGACAGGCTGGACAAGGTTCTAGATTATTGCTCAGACAAGAGTGAAAAAGCCCTCAAACTCACGGCCATCGAGTTGATCTGACTCACAGCGACCCTATAGGACAGGGTAGAACTGCTCTTGTGGGTTTCCAAGATGGTACCTCTTTTTTTCCTCCCAAACCATTTTATTAGGAGCTGATCCAGACATCATACCACTCCACAGTTCAATTACATCAAGCAATAGCGTGCAATTGCTACCACAATCGGTTTCAAGACATTTTCTTCCTTCTTCAACTCCTTGTTAACAGCTCCCCTTGACCCGCCACCCGCCCCCGCCATGCCCCCTCCCCAGGACCCTTATTCTAATTGCTGTCCCTACAGGTTCATCAATCCTGGGTTTCATCTACTGAAAACCAGAAAAACACATAGACTCATGAAAGCCACCCACAATGACAAAATACTTCAAAGACAAACCCCAATGTGAGAAAAACAGCACACAGAAAAGACTGAAATATTGAAAACCAGATCAAGCCCAAAGTATATATGAATCTACTCAGGTCATCTCTCCAGTCCTCTCTGTATGATAACCAGGCTACTCCTATCCCTCAGTTATGGTCAGAGGGGAATCACCAGAGGCTTATTCCTTGTGTCTTTGGGGCTTCCACTGGTATCCATGGTGTTCTGCACACCAGAATCTCTCCATTTAAGCTCTGACACTATTCCTCCTTCTGATTTAGATGATATAATTGACAGACCTTGGGTCACAGATGTGGGTGTGCTTCTTCTTCCATGTGGACTTGAGTTGACATCTCACTTAGATGGCTGCTTGTTTGGAAACAAGCCTTTGAGACCCCAGACTCTGTTCTATCTAATAGCTGTGCATCACTTGATTTCTTCACCACACTCTATCTTCTGGGTTTTCTTCAGGAAGGCCTATCCATGGAGCATAGGATCTTCTGTTAATAGTGTCACTGAGTAGCCCATGGTCCGAATGTTTAAAACACTGCTAAGAGAGGAAAATCGAACCAGTGTAGGCTAACTACATATCGCAATGCCTGAGTTATTCACTTGTGCAGAATAAATCCGTACAAGGCTGAGCACTATTTACACAAACAATCGGAGCTGGTTCTCAGGCAAAACTGTGACTCTTTACAGGAACAGAAACGTTTCATCTTTCTCCTGAGGAGCAGCTGGTGGTCCTGAACTGCTGTCCTTGTAGTCAGCAGCCCAATTCGTGACCACCCCAGGGATCCCTTCTGTACATGAGGAGGAGTAAGGTATTGGAAGAACATCATTAGGGGCTTTCACTTGGAGACTGCAAAGCTGACAGTCAGAAAGGTGCCCCTTGGAGTCACGGTGCTCCAATAGAAAGAATGAAAGAAAACTCCCTGTCTCATGCCTTCAAGGGGTTTTGGAATTCCCTATTCAATGACTCTTTAGTTTCATCTGGGTGCAAATATTTCTAAGAGATGTGTTGGTCAATGAAATATTTATTTCAAGGGACATCTTGGACTCTTGTCCAGGGTGGCATCTATGTTTAAATTAAAATGAGTTACAATTGTAAATTTATATTTTTTTATTACAAGGGTCTAAGAAGTTTTTGGTAAGCCTGCATCTTTTAAGAGACGACAATTGCATCCTGCATGCCGACTGCCGGGAGTTCTCTGTGAACGTAAGAAAGGTATGTCTAAAAGAGGAGCTAATGGCAAGAGCTCAAGTAGAAAGAAAATGTTTTGAAAATGATGATGGAAACCTATGTACAAATGTTCTTGGTACAATTGATGTATAGATTGTTAAAAAAGCTGTAAGAGCCCCCAATAATGTAATTTTTTTAAAATGGTATATCCATAATGTCCAAGGCCAACTCCACCCATCCTCCCACCTGTGCAGACTTGGATGCTTGGGATAGTTGGAAAAAGTAGTTTTATTTGTATTATTGTGCATACAATGCAATCCATTATGACAAGTAACTTGCTTCTGGTATGAGAAAAGTCAGGAGAAAGTCTATATAATTTCACTACTAAGAGTTTGGCGTTACCCTCCCTCCCCACATACACCTCTTCACCTGAGAGTCTCTGGCTCACTGCAACTGAATCAGAATGGGCATTTGGACACTTCTCCGGGTTAGGCATTTGGGGATCATTGGAAGCATTGCTATATAAGACCCACTGCCATTGCCTGGTGTTCCATTCATATGGACCCTACAGAACTGTTTCAGAGGGCGGAAGCAGACGGCCACATCTTTGTCCCATGGGGCAAAGGGAGGCTGGTGGCTTTGAACTGCCAACCTTTCTGTTAGTCCAATGCTTAACACACTTTCCTACCAGGAAACCAATGAAAAACAGGTATACAAATTCAAAAGGGCTGCATCCATATCCAGGCCTCTCAGCCATAGTGCCGCTCACAGGACACACATCGGCTCTCGGTGCTTCAAATCCTCCTGCCTTTGCCCCTTCTTCCTCCCTGCCCACTGGGACTCAGGAAGCAGACCGTGGGAAATACGCGTCCACAGCTGACCCTCCTTTGGTTTCCACGCAGGGAGAGGAAGTTGACTCTGGACCATTCACAAGCTTACTTTCTCCCTCGTTTCCTCAGTTTCAGAAAACTACACAGTTGTTGCCAGAGCAGACCTTGTTCGTCCTGGATCAGAAGAGCTCCGAATATTGTTCGTTCGAATGTAAGAGCAATCCCGGAACGTACATCGGTGCCATCAATAATCGTCTTCAGCTAATGTCAGCAAAGGACCCTTCATCCTGTTCAAACATTATGTTTAAGCTCAGCTAAGCGTCGGTGCATTTGGAAAGCTGTGGCTCCTGAGCTGAGTGCCCCAAACATCTACCACTGGAAATGAGATACAGATAGAAGATGAGCAACATCTAAGGGAAAGGGAGAACTCTCAGCTATGGAGTGCGTTCTTATCCCCACCTCCCTATCCCCCAACCCCCAAGCTTCCAATCTGCTTTCTATTTCCCTCTGTACCTTCAACACACGGATCTGCATGTTGTCTAGGGGGCAGGTAATGAAATGAGCAGATGTTCTTTAGAAGATGCAGTCTAAGCATCCTTTTATGCTGTTTCAGCCCAGAAATTGCTGGGGAACCCAGGCTTCTGGGAAAGGGGCAGAGGCCCGAGTCACTCTTTGGATGGAGACCCACATTCCAGAACCTTACAGGGAGAGTGTTTTCCCTGGTTCTAAACACTATGTTCAAACACTGAGCAAGGCAAGGAGAAGCAAAATGGGAAGAGAAAGAAATCCAACTGACCATTTTTCCCTAACTGTTGCACTTGTAACATTTCTGATTTTTTATATTTTGAGTTGTAGCTTAAGCAACTTGTACTGTCATAGGTTGTAGCTCAGTCAGACAAGTAAGATCACTGTAAATGCGTAACAAACTTAGGCTTTTGTTTTGCTTTGCTTCATTTTGTTTTAATGCCGTACACCAGGGCATACATAGGCTAGGGGAGTGATTCTAACTAAGTGCACAGTGAGACAAAGACTTCCTTGCTGACTAGACACAGCAGAGAGGTTTCAGTTTCCATATCTAGCTAACATCACATCTGTGACAACCCCAGGTCTCTGACCCTGGCTGCCAGGAGTCTGTGACTTTCAGTATACTCATTGTCCCTGGGAGCAGAATCTCTTCGACTCCTTGCTTCCAAAGCATACACCAAGTCTCTTCACTGTCTAGCTTCTGAATGAGCCTGCCTACTGGAGCGCAACCGTGTGACTTCTGTCCCTGGACTTCTGACCAACTATGTCCTTGGTGTATCTTTCCCAGTCATCGTGCTTCCCTTCTGTATCACCTGCCTCCAGATGCCAACATCTGTATCTTGCTTCATCTACTGGATATTGGAGAAAATTACATCCACCTATTGATAAAGATATTTGTATGGAACATCTTTGTATCTTACAGTTACTAAGGCAGCAAAATATATACTCAACCATATAACAATGCTCTACTACTAATGGGGTATGTGTTGCTTATTTTAAAGTCATAGCAATTGCCACTACAGTTGTTCCCGACAAGTGGTGACAAAGGATTTTAAGAAGGGTGGTTTTTCATGGAAGTGTGAATGTCTTGGGTTCTAATTTGTTGTGCAAGAAAGACTAGGTCATTCACTTGTAGATCAATATGCTTTGGTTCCATTGTTTTGTCAATCGTTACATTATAGAGGGAAAATGAATAATTGAATCCATTCCCCATGAGGAGTACTGAATGTTGACCATGTGCATCTGGACGACAAACTGAAAATAACTGTCATGATGTAATCAAGTATATGCAATATATTATTTATATTCTTAAATAAAGGATTTTCAAGAGTATGTGAGACCATAATGATTTCATTACAAAATGACTCAAAATTCTGACATTTGAAAGTGAAAGTGCGCGCCCGTGTATTCAACAACATTAATAGTGGGAATAGACCATTTGTCCAATATTTTTTTGTGATTCCAAGCTAAGTAGGAGGTGAGAGTCAAGGGAAATTTGGACAGAAAAATTCAGATCTAATGAGAATACAGCAGTTTGACTTAGATCTCAAAAGAATGACTCATACCCCTTACTTCTGAAACACACACACACACACCACACACACACAAAACCAAGAAATCACAATTCCAGCTTTTGTTCCTCAAACAGGATTCATACTGCTAAAAAAATTCACAATGAGGAGAAATAGTCAGCTGAGGTATTCCAATGATGGTCTAGGCAGGCTTACATCAAAACTCCTCCCCTCCAAGCTCTGAAATCTCCTCTTCTAGAAGTTATTTAGAAATGCATGCTGTCTATTCAGTAGACATTGTCAAAGCACCAAAGATTCTCAAGCCATGGACCTGTCCCTGGGAACCCAAAACGTGTACAATTCAGATTAGAACTCCAGCTTAGCAGAGAGCATGATCAGTGCAGCATGTCATCAAGAAAATAAATTAGACTGAAATCTCTATCCCTTTACCCGAGTACCCACCCACATCTACCCCACATCCTTTCTGGAGGTCAAGGTAAGCAAGTTAACTCGTCCCTTCATTGTCATGGCTGGGGCTAGTAGAGTTGAGAATCTTGGGAATGGATGCAAGAAAGTGAAAGCCAGTAAGTAGGTAGGGAGAGCCTTAACGATCTACTTCCTAAACAGGTGCCAAGCCGAGGAAACATTTGTCCAAGTTCAATGACAGTTCTTGGCGTGGAGGACATTCCTAGGAGGAGAATGCACGAATCTCGGCTTTCTGCCAATTTTGTAACCATTCAACCTCTGTTTCTTCTCTGAAAAACTGGGTGGTCCAAAATACTGTAGTTGTCTGCCCAGTATGCATCACCACTGCCCCTACTTCCTTATCACCACACCTCATCTTTGTACAGGGCAGTGGTGTGCCCTGTGAGAGTTGGGAATATTTATGCCAACATGGCACCTGGAAGAAGATATGAGTGGAGTTTAGCCTGTGTACAGCTCTCTGGCGGCTGGCCTCTCTTTCTCTTTCTGCCTTGACCTTCCTGCTTGCTGGCCACCCTGAGAGCTGCTGGAGCTCTGCCATGTTTCCACTGACCTTGGATCCACATGACTCTGCACCCACTGGCCTGTGACCTTCCTGCATTCTGCATCATTGCACGTGGCTGTGTGAGTCTCAAGAGGGACTTACGGACTAGTATCAGCCTTATGGACTTGAGTTGGACTGGGCTGAGATGTTTTCTTAAGATATAATCACTTCTTGATATAAACCTCTTTCTTTATATATGAGTGTCACTGGATTTGTTCCTCTAGTCAACCCAGTCTAACACATCCCCAAATACACTACTTCTCGCTTTCCATGCAGCCAGAGTGGTCACAATGGCACACAGAGGTCTAGGCAATGAGATATAAGCAGGATAATGGTTAAGAGAAAAAAACCTCTTTTAAGGGGACATATTTGGGTCCTCCACTCTTCTTCCCTTCTTCCTACGTGGATCATATATGAGAAGGACTTTAAAAAGTTCGTGGAATCACAGGGAGCTACATATAACCTACTCTCTGGGGGACGGGCAGCAGAAGGGTGGGTGAAGGGAGACGCCGGACAGTGTAATATAAGATACAATAATAATTTATAAATTATTAAGGGTGCATGGGGGAGAGGGAAGGGGAGGGGGAAAAAAAGGAAAATGAGCTGATTCCGGGAACCCAAGAGGCAAGCGAATTTTGGGAATAATGAGGGCAACAAATGTATAGATGTGTTTTATACAATTGATCTATGTATTGTGATGAATTGTATGAGCCCCAATAAATTGATTAAAAAAAAAAGTTCGTGGAAAATTAAAATAAAAAGGTAATAGGATTTTCCCCATGAATTTTTTAAAGCCCTCTAGTAGGTGAGGCTCAATATAGAGCAGTCAACTTCTGACAAAGAGAAGAGCATGAGGCCAGATGAAGACTTTAAAAGTTGCAGGAGGAAAAGAGAGTGAACTAGTGATACTGATTCCTCTACCCTGATCCCTTTGGATTTCTCTCTCCCGGATCCCTTGGCAGCATTTCTAGGCCCTACCCGCTACTACCACCACCACTACCATCACCATCTAGGGGTGCTTTTCATGCCAGTACGTGGTGCAGCTCTTCCTGGGGAGACTGCCCCGAGCTGATAATGTTGCCTGGATGAAGTGCCTGTGTTTGCATTTCTCCCACCAGCTCCAAAACCCTGCTGAAAGCCTAGCTCCCTTGCTTTCGATTAGAACAGCTGTCTTAAAAATAAACTCCAAAAAAAAATAAAATAAAATAAACTCCGAAATACCCTCATGGGGAACACGTCAAAAGAAAAGCCCGGGGATTTCCTTCACAGCCTTGAAAACCCTGCGGACCGCTCTACTCAGCTACAGGGTGTCGTCAAGGGCAGCAGCTCACAACAGTAATGGGGGGGGGGGGAGCACTGTGGGCAATTTTCCTTTGCATCTTGATATTTGTTTGTGTTCCCTGACTGCATGACAGTGAATAAGGATTGCTTTGATCAGCTGAACAATTAATAAAGATATTTCCATTTTGAAAAGAAAATGAAAAGCCATCTAGCATTCTTCATTCCAAACTCACCAACAAATCTCTTGATGTGTATTTATTTCAAAGGAATTTTATATTCCTTCATTCATTGACTCCAAAATGAGTTAATGAATATGCTAACATCTGCCAGCAACAATGTCTGGCCCTGGAAATGCAGAGGAGACTAAGAGAGAGCTAATATTCACAAGGAACTCACAGTCTAGTGAAGAGGACAGCGATGCAACAGGTAGCCTGCAGGCCCGTGTGGTCAGACCTAGCTTGCAGAGATAATGCCATTTTCCAACATTCATATTAACTGCACATCTACTACGCTCCCTGCCCTGTGCTAAGTGTTAGGGATAGCCATATAGTCTGGGCAGTGGAGCCTCTTCCTCCTCCTGATTGGTGGGCATTCTGAGGAGAAAACGCCCTTGGAGAAGGAGCATCATATTGCACAGGTGTGTGCAGTTGGCCTAATTCCATGTTCCTGTGGCCTCCTGGGTCATGAACTCTAGCTATCTTCACCGGCTTGGATAAAAGAAGGAAAAGCTTAGGTTCATCCCCTCCCCTTCTCTACTGACTCCAACCCCAATAGAAATCAGTCAGTTGGCTTTCTGGTCTATACATCAGTCACATGTTTGGTTAATGGAAGTCAATGTCCCTAAACCCCACTGCCTCTGGCCCTTTCAACAATCTAAGTTTCTGAACCTGTAAAGCTAAGGTTCCGGTCCTGACTCACTGTGAACCATTAAGGTACAGGCACCCAGAAGGTCCCACTTCAGCATCTTTCATCCCCTTCTCTAATGTCATCATCAAGCTTCTCTAATAGGAAGCTTGTAATGATCTCATTCTTTGTGAGACCTTAGCAAATTCATTTCACTGTTCTTTGCCTCAATTTTCAGGTTTACACAATGGAATGGTAATGGTGCCAGCAGTAAAGGGTTGCAGTGGGATTCAATAAAGTCATAAACATAAATGGCTGAGGAAAGAGAACACCGTTTTGTAAGCACTCCATACATTTCAGCACACGTGTTTATATTCTGTCTGCCATTGCCATTAGCATCATTATGATCCAGGAACTTGCAAGCAAATGCGTCAGAAAAATCCAAGTAAAGAATTGAATGAGGAGAGATGGGAATCAGGGAAGCAATAAACAAAACTCATTGTTTCCTGGAGATAAGGAGGCAAATGTTCTGGCAAGAAGAATGGAAATGATGAAAAACGGAAAGGCAGGGAGGTGATATGTAGTGAACACCAGTGCTGTAATGGTGAGCTTCTGTAAGGACGTACTACACCTGCGGGAAGGTCTGAATGGAGTCCTAGCTCTCCATCAGGGCACAGCCTAATGGATTGTCCTTGGGGGCATGGCCTTTTTAATAAGACATGCTGTGCAGGATTTTCTCCTTCCTGCTTGCTTGGATCCTGCCTCTGGCTTCTGTAGCCAGTGGCCCATGTGGTCAGGCAACCCTGGGAACTGTTGGCACACTGCCATATTCCTGCCGACCTTGGATCCACTGGACTCTGCACCCACCAGTCTGTGACCGCCCTGCCCTGCTCCCCACTTCACTTTCTTATTTCATCCACCGGCAGCTGTGTAAATCTGAAGGGGGTCCCGGCATCTGACCCATGAACCTGAGATGGAGTGGGTTGGGCCACTTCCTTGATACAAATTTCTTTCTGTATCTACAGCTCCTTTTATGCATAGATGAGTATTGCTGGTTTTGTTTCTCTAGAAATTCCAACCTAACACAAATGTCTAGAGAGAGCATGAGAGACCATCCCGTTGACTCCTAACAACACAGTGCAATGTCATCTATTGGCACCTTTTGAATATATAAGACATTTCTCCCAAGAAGATGTACAAAAGATCAGTAAGCACACAAATACATGCTCAACATCCTGTGTCATTGATGTTGTTGTTGTTAGTTGCCAAAGAGCTACGCAAATCAGAATCACAAGGTGCCACTTCCCACTGACTAGATGACTATTGGGCGGGGGTGGGGGGTGGGCGAAAAAGAACATAATAAGGGTAATCAACGTGGTAGAGAAATTAGAACTTCCATCTCTTGCTGATGAAAATGTAAACTGGCACCGTTCCTGTTGGAACCAGTTTCCAGATGGCACAGCGATTCCCCACCTTGGCATATGCCCGAGAGAAATGAAAACACACACTCACACAAAGACTGAAACATGAATGACAACAGCTTTATCCAGAACAGTAAAAAAGGGGAAGCATCCTAAATGCCCACCGACTAGTGAATTCAAGGATGAGGAAGACCCAGGAAGAATGGATGCATGTAGAGTATGTGCTGGTGAAGAACACCGAAAGTACCG